AAAAAAAAAAAAAAAAAAAAAAAAAAAAAAACAAACAAACAGAACCTCACGGTTCTGGCTCCTACCATTCTGGGGAGCAAGTCCGGTTCCTATTCCCCCGGCAAGTCAATATGGGATACATAAAAGACTCACACACCCTCCTCCCCATTATGGCTGAGAGGCCCGAGTAGGCAGCATTGATTACTTCCTTGAGGAAGGATTTACCACCTCTTACCCCTGCCTAATCTACCCTGCACTAACTCAGCCTGCCAATGTATCTGATCCCAGATCTGCTCCTCTCAGCTATGAAGCTGTCGGTTATCTATGATTATGCAAGAGCAATCTGGAACACTTATATGCCTTTTGAAGCCTCTGTTACGATCCTGGTCATTTCCCAAGTGCAAATTCACAATGAAAGACAATGCCACCCAATTGCGAAAGAAATGAAAGCACTTGCAAAGAGATAAAGACCAGAGGAGAGAGAAAGACGAAGAAGAAGAAGAAGAAGAAGAAGAAGAAGAAGAAGAAGAAGTACACCAGCAAGACCAATGACAATTCCCCCTTCTCTCTCCACCTTCCTCCTCCTCCTTCTCTTCACCAATCTTATTATTCTCTCATTAATAATAATAACAATGAATGGATGAACCAGAATCAATTTCCAAAGTTCCCTCTTACTGCTGACTCAACTCAACAACAACAACAACAACAACAACCAGTCCACCATAGCTATGGCTTCCCTCCTTCAGCCTCCTCTCTCATGCATAGGCTATGGCAGACTAATGAGGGCCTTGCCCTGACGTCCAAAGGACAACCCAAAGCAGCTATGGTGCTGCGCTGACGTCCAAAGGACAACCCAAAGCAGCTATGCCGCTGCTGCCTGGTCCGCCATGCCTGACTCTGCCTCGAGCTTCCCTGGTGCCGCACTACCCCAACTGGGGCCTTCCAGATGCAGCGCCCAACAAGGTGATGAAGATGGTGTCTACCATAGCCAGGTAAGTACCCCGCCACTCTCCTACTACGCCCCCTTCTTCCTCCTCCTCAAGCTGGACTGCTCGCCAAAGCCAGGCTGAGCTCCAGCGGCCCTTCACCTCCAAGCAGCGCTGCACCAGTCCAGCGCTGCGCTCCAGAAGCATGTCGCCAATCCTTGCACACCGCAAATGAGGAAGAGCTCTTTGCTCTTCCTGGAGATATAGCGGCCTACCGGCCTTCTGGGCGGTGACTTCCTAGGCCGAGTGGCCTCCCAGCAACCGGTACCTCCTCCCTTTCGGAGGGAAACATCATTGCAGGCTCTGCTATCCTCCCTACAGGCCTTAGACCCGGGCTACGTGGACTGGTACCGGCCTACCGCTATCCTACCGCTACTGGGCCTCTAAAAATGCCAACTTTTTGTCTTCTTCTG